CCTTGGTCTAGGTGCTTTTCTGCGCAGGAACCTCAGGTCCAAAGGACACGCTCTGCTCCCAGCACTGCTTTCTTGGTGGTATGAGGTTCCCATGTGTCTCTGCTCGCTTCTCTCTTTTATATCTCAAAACAGATTGGCTTAAGACACTATCCAATCTTGTAGACCTCATCAGTATAACCTCATCGTAGTGACAGATTTTACAACACATAAGGAAATCACATCAGATTACAAAATGGTACAAAATCATACAATACTGGGAAGCACGACCTACACATTTTTGGGGGGACGTAATTCAATCCATGACCGAGAGTGAGGAGGTTTTTGAAAAGAGCCTTGGCTGACTAGTTGCATAAGCGAGAAATGCACCTTTGCTATGGCAAGCCACTGAAATATCGGGTTGTTTATTACCGCAGATTGATTAGCCTAAGCTAACAGATTCACGGTTTTTCAGGGAAACCCTTAACAAGAAACTAGAGGAACATCTAAGCCCACAGAAGTGCAGAAGTGGTCAGAGTTACTGTTTCTTGTTCAAAGCAAACACAATGGGGCCACAGAGGAGGTTGACCATCTACTTTTGGGGCATCCCCTTGTCTCCTATTGCCTCAGCTCTGTGGGGAACCCCAAGAAAAGTTCCCAACTCCAGGCCCTGGGCCTTTCCCTTGCCCACTTCCTCCTCAGGCCACCCCCAATGGAGTCACCACAGCCATGAGAGGACACAGGAACTCTCCGGCTGCGGGGAGGTTGCTGGGCGCCCTCCTCCCATGAGCAGCTAGGAGACCAGCCCCCTGATGCTCGGCTGGAATTTACCTAGCCTTGGAACTTACATCTCGGCTGATTCCACTCCTCCTGTTGGCTTAACCCTGTAGGAGGATTAACAACAACCACAACACACTTCCCTAACACTGCTTTGTGCTCCAGGTACTGTTCTATGCACTTTAGACACTCTGACTCCGCCTAACAGCCTATCAGAGAGGCGCCATTATTATCCCCATTTTACAGACAAGGAAACTGAGGTCCGGCGAGATTAAGTAAGTCACTTGCTTAAGGTGGGTAGAAAAAGGCAGAGCTTGGATTCAAATATAGTGAGCTGAGTTCCAGTTCTCAGGTACAAATGTGTTTATCAACTTCAACTACCTGGCCTAAAACCACACACCGAGAGCAAGAGAGGGATTCCACAGATTGTGTTTGATAACTGTGCTGCAGGGCTTCAAACTGGTTCTGCTCGGTTCAGTCATGGCTGACAAAGAGAAACCTGAACTTGAATTTTTAAAATGTGGGTGAAGCACAATGAGAAAAATTATGGGTCCAAGCCCTGCTAGAAACGGAATCTCCCTCTTAGAAAACAAGGGCAGCATGCACGTTGCATAGCAACCAAATCTCTTGACTGGCGGAGTGGGAAACAATGGTGACCTGCTCAAAGATGGTGGCCCAGCCACGCTGGTTTGAATGTATGTGGCTCTCCACAGTCCTGGTAATAATCCAATCTCCCACATCAGGCTCCTGAAAGGGCTCACTATGCCTCTTCCAAGTCTCCCATTCCAGGGCTTTGACATGTAATTTTTCCTGTTCTGCTTAATCCAAATTTTAAAATTTCGAGTATGTTCTGATTTCACCTTGTTGGCCATGACTGAACTAGTTCAAAGCCCTGCTATGCTGTGGAGGAAGGTACTGAACGGGAAGAGAGAGCAAAAAGGTGGGAGCAGTGAATCTACATAGCAAAGAAACATAGCTGCTTTCTTGATGCCTGGGTTCACCCTGGTGGCAAAACTCAGGCGTCTGAAGTTTGGGGAGCAGTACAGGAATATAAGGAAAGAGCAAAATACAACATATATAAACTTACTGATGGTGAATGGGCATACATAACAGCTGGAAGAGTCATGTTACATGAAGGGCTTTTGGTTTGGGCTTTGCTTGTCTTTTGGGGAAAGTTGAGCATTGATTTTTTAGAAGTTTAAAAATGGAAAATGAGATTCTATCACTTAGTGCTGGTAGGAAGATGAAAATCCGTGGAGGTAAGCTGTCTTCATCCCTAAGTGCCCTGTTTTACCCCTTGGTTTCCGAATCGGAAATGAGACATGCAAGCAGATATGTCCTGGTTCCAGGGACTCCATCCCTGAAGTCATCAGAGGGCGCTATATACTTGGCCTAGAGAAACCATAACCCTTTACTCTCTTTGGCTTCAGATCCCTTCACTTTCTTCCCCACTGAGCTCTGCAGGTGTTATGGTCTGAATTGTGTCCCCCGAAGATGTGCGTTGGAATCCTAACCCCTATACCTGTGGATGTAATTCCATTTGAGAATAGTTTTCTTTGTTATATTAATGAGGCCATATCAGTGTAGGGCGGGTCCTAAACCTAATCACTTCTGAGTTATAAAAAGCACAGATTAGACACAGAAGGAGACACAAACATGGGAAGACAGATGCCAGGTGAAGATCGCCAAAGAACTGAGGAACATCGGAGACAAGGACCTTCCCCCAGAGCCGACAGAGAGGGTAAGTCTTCCTCTAGAGCCGGCACTCTCAATTCAAGACTTGTAACCTCCTGACCTGTGAGAAAATAAATTTCTGTTGTTTAAAGCTACCCACTTGGGATACCTCTGTTACAGCAGCACTAGGAAAATAAGATGGCAGGATAAAGGGGTCATTAAAGTTTGCCAGATAAGTTATCAACCCTCCCCTCAAACCTACACTCCCTCTCCCTCATACCCTGTGAGGAGACTCCTAAAATCCAGGGCCTCTGCTTCTTCCAAGGCACACGACTGGACAATATTTCCCAGTCTCCCTTGCAGTTGGATGTGGTCATGTGACTGAGTTCTAACCAATGGAATGTGAGCACAAGTGACACTCCTACTTCCAGGCCTGCCCCACCCACAAGCCTCCTTCAAGCTCTTTCTTCCTTGCAGCCTATTGGGTTGGAGTCAACCACAGGAACCTGGAGGCTGCCTGTTGAAGGTGGCAGAGCCTCTGTCAGCCAGGTCCCCTGAATGAGCCTTTGCCACTAATCAGGAAACGCGTATGGGAGCGGAAAACAAGCTTCTTCTGGGTTTAACCGTTCCATTTTGATTGTTGTTGCAGCAGCTGCTAGCTAATCATCCCCCACTTACATGTCCTCCACAGCACCTCTCCATCTGTGAGTCACCCTGTATTTTTACTTGCTTATTTCCTCTTCCTTCCACCTGAATGTAGGACCGTGTTTTGTTCCTTGCTGTATGACCAACAGTAGAACAGTGCCTGGCGTGGAGCAGGCACTCACTAACAACCTGATGAGTACAAGAACGAATGAACTGTGCTTTACCCATTCTGCGTAAGCATGGGTCTCCGTGGAAAGGGCCCCCTTACTTAGCCGAAAGGGAACCTGTTTCTACTTTCACGTTCTCGTCCACTTCTGGGGCTAGAAGATTAGCCCTTATTCAGAATAATGCACCCACCCTTTAGGACCCAGCCTAAACGTCCTCCTCTTTGACTTCCTCCCTGAGTCCTGCCCACAGTGGCTGCATCCTCGGCCCCTGACCAAGGGGTGCCTTTGCAGTAACACCTGTCACGTGGCACAGTAACTATTGATATCTTTGTCTCTCCTGCCCCGAAGTGTCTCCACCCTACAAGTAGGTTAGGAAACCCTTGAGGTCGGGACTCTGTCTTATTCATCTTTGCATCTTCCCAGTATCTGGCACAGCTGCTTCTTGGGAAATAAGCACTCTATGATATTTAATGACCCATTTTCTTTAACTGTTGTCACTCTGCTGCTTACCACAGGTAAAAATCTCCCTGCGATCCTCTGGATCCATTACACAAGGACCTAAGTAGGTGCTTGGAATATTCTACAAACTCTTCTAATTGGCTTTTTTTTTCCTTCATAATTTATTTCACTTATTTATTTTTTTGTTGTCACTGTTGAGAACATACAACAGAACATACACCAATTCAACCGTTTCTACAAGTACCATTCAATGACATTGATTACATTCTTTGAGTTGTGCAACCATTCTCACCCTCCTTCTCTGAGTTGTTCCTCCCCCATCAACATAAACTCACTGCCCCTAAGGCTCCTATCTAATCTTCCGAGTTGCTGTTGTCAGTTTGATCCAATACAGACAGACCCTAAAAGAGCACAAGGCTCAAGGCAAACATTCTTTACTAGTTCAGCTATTGTTTGGTTTTTTAAGAAGACTTCAGGGGATATTTTTGGTTTCAGATTTACAGATTATCTCAGGGCAATAGTTTCAGGGGTTCATCCAGCCTGCATGGCTCCAGAAAGTCTAGGTTCCAGGAGAATTTGAAATTCTATTCTACATTTTCCTTCTAATGGACTTTTTAGATCTTAACACTACAATGTGCACATGTGGCCAGAGAGACGAGGGGGAAGCCAGCCCAGATGACTGGGCCCAGCAGTCCAGCAGGGGCTCAAACCCAACAGCTTTGCATAACAACACAAACCCACCCTTGACTGGGGAGTCGGGGTGGGGGTGGGGGGGCCAAACACCTTCCCACTGAGGCCCAGCTCTGCTCCTGGCAGCCCTGTGCACACACGGGAATTTCGTCTTTCAAATGCTTGCCCATTTGACCCTCACAAAGGCTCCGTGATAGAGGCAGGACAGTGACTATCATGCCCATTTCACAGATGAGGAAACTGAGGCTCAGAGAGGTTAAGTGACTTGTCCAAGATCATGGTTTCAATGTGTGCTGAGCTGACACTGTGACCCAGGGTTCCAGACATTTCTTCTCCTTTTCTCCTGCCTCCTTGTCATACTGAGCTAACGGTGGCCACGAGGAAGCAGAGCCAACAAGCCATGACATGGGCGAGCAGAAACTGTAACTGATTTTGAGTGATAAACTGAGTTCAAAATAAACCTGGCCGGGTAACTGCAGTGAACCGGAAGTTTTATCCCCCTGCTAATTTTAAACACGTCCGGCTGTGACAGGAGTCTGTGGTTACAGGGTGTAGCATCTGCTGCTGCTATGTGGTCGGAGGCCAGGTCAGGAAGATGGGGGGGCTACTTACTCAATTTCTCTTCTTTAATGGTGTATTCAAGCACCTCGGACGAGCCCTTGTTCTGGGAAGGAAAGTGGACACAGAGAACCAGGTGCTTCAAGCTGCCGTCCTTACGGACCAGGAACATCTGAAATGAAAGGTGCAAGATGTGGGTGGAGGTTAGAAGGACAATCGTGAGATGCAAGTCATCCGGAATGTTCCTGAAACAAGGAGCCAGCGAGGAATGGTCAAGCATCCCTCAGGAGAACTCGGGGCTCTGCCCAACGAGCCATGCATTACTTGGCGCATGTCACCGGCTCCTTGATCGCAACTTCTTATTTGCCCACTGAGGTTGCTGTGGTTGGCTGCCATCGAGTTGGCCTCTGACTCATGGTGGCCCCATGCACAATGGAACAATGCCTGGTCCTGCACCATCCCCATGATCAGTTGTGGATTGAACCATTGTGATCCATAGGGCTTTTGCTGGCAAATTTTTGGAAATAGATTGCCAGGCCTTTCTTCCTAGTCCATCTTAGTGTGGAAGCTCTGCTGAAACCTGTTCAGCATCATAGCAACACACAAGTCTCCACTGACAGACTGGGGGTGGCTGTGCATGAGGTGCGTCGAACAGGAATTGAACCCTGTTCTCCCATATGGAAGGCGACAATTCTACAATTGAACCACCACGGCCCACTGAGGAGGTTCAGCTAAAATCAGTGTTTCCCAAAGGGTGTTTATAGACACAGAGTCAGCCAGGCAGGTGTTCATAATGCAGGTTTGTGTGCCCCACCCCTGGGACGCCGGTTCCTTGGATACCAAAAAAAACCAAACCTGTTGCCGTTGAGTCGATTCCGACTCATAGTGACCCTATAGGACAGAGTAGAACTGCTCCATAGGGTTTCCAAGGAGCGCCTGGCAGATTCAAACTGCTGACCTTTTGGTTAGCAGCCGAACGCTTAACCACTATGCAACCAGGGTTTCCATTCCTGGGATAGGGGCTGGGAACCAGCATTTAAACAAGCTCGCCTGCTGATTCTGATGCGGTGGTCCAGGGCATTCACACCTAGAAAAGCTCTAATATATGGAAATCAGGTTGAATTTCAACTCACACCTGCACGTATGCTCTTGGGGCCCTGCTTGAAATAATCACACAAATTACCCAATTCACACTTTTTTTTTCCCCCCAACAAAAATAGCTAATACTTAATATAGAGCTTTCTCCGTGACAGGAACTGTTCTGAATACTTTACATATATTAACTTGCTTCATCCTTCAATAACCTCATGATGTAAATTTTGTTATTATTCTCATTTTATAGATGAAGAAACTTGAATACTTTACATATATTAGCTTGCTTCACCCTTCAATAACGTCATGATGTAAATTTTGTTATTACTCCCATTTTATAGATGAAGAAACTGAGGCTCTCTCTCATTGTAACAGGACCGCCTTCCTTGGGCTGGTGTGATGACTGAATGAGTTAATAGCTGTAAAGGGCTTGGCCCACAGAACACACTCTGGAAGGGTTAGCTGGCCAAGGTCACTTAAGCTCTAAGAGGTGGAGCTGAGATTCAATCCCCCACGTTGATGTCTATGCCCCTGACCCATGGAGACCACAAGTCCTTCCCAGAGAGACTCTCTTATCCTGTGGACTGGAGTCTGAGAAAATGACGTCTTTGGGCCCCAGGACACATCTATCCTCTAGTCACCAAACATTCACCGAAATCTAAACCAGAGCCCGTGTATTTATAGACACTTCACTTCTATTCTTCTGCTCTGGGCAATGGTTCTGCTCCAGCAAGGCGACAGTTTGAAGTCACACCCACAGCTGCCCCCAGGGGCCGTGCCCTCCCCAGGCAGTCATGGGGAGGGGGAAATCTCTGATTCCTTTCACAAATTCTGTGGTTTTAAAATTTAGATTTTGTCTCAGCTGGCCTCAGCCACGCTCATGCCGTCTTCCTGGGTGACATGTTCCAGAAACTTCCCAGCCTCCTGGGTTACAGATGCTGGGTGAGGTGTCCCTCAGTTGGGGCAGGGGCACCCCTTTCCCCAGAGAGGACAAGGCCATCACGTCCTGTCCCTGCCCTGTCCCTGGAGTCAGAACCTCTCCCACTCAGGCCCCAAGCACATGGGCTAGAGTTTGGAAGAGACAAGACCAGCAGTCTGAGTTGAGGGAAGGTTGGGGAGTGGGGCCGCTGGGACATCACTGAGGTCATGGCCTCAGGTGTGAGAGGCTCTCAAGGAAAACTGGGGAGGTGCTTCTTCCCTTTCTCCCACCAAAGGCATGCTCTGTCCTACTTCCCCTTTACCAGAAAAACCAAACCCATTGCCGTTGAGTCGATTCTGACTCATAGCGACCCTATAGGACAGAGTAGAACTGCCCTATAGAGTTCCCAAGGAGTGCCTGGTGGACTGAACTGCCGACATTTTGGTTAGCAGTCGTAGCTCTTAACCACTACCGTCTGCATCAGGCTCCAGAAACTTTCAGGATCCATGCAAAAGACTGCATTATTGGCAGGGCTCTGGAGAGCGACACACGTGCAAAGCGGTGTGGTCGGCTGCCATCTTTGCATGGGGCACTGCTGTGTGTTTCTGACTTGGGTCAAAATCCTACAGGCAACAGACTCGGTTGCTATGCAATGTGTATACTGACCTCGTTTATGTCGGAAATTACTGAACAGTTTGGAACCAGTTTGAAGCCCTGGTTTTGTTCCATTGTGCATGGGATTGCCATGAGTCAGGGGCCAACTAGACAGCAGCTAACAATGACATATTGTAATTGTTAATATAATATTGTTCTTATGTTGCTGTTGTCAGGTGCTGTCGAGTCAGTTCCAACTCGTAGCGACCCTATAGACAACAGAACGAAACACTGCCCGGTCCTGCGCCATCCTCACAATCATTGTTATGCTTGAGCCCATTGTTGTAGCCGCTGTGTCAATCCATCCTATTGAGGGTCTTTGTCTTTTTCGCTGACCCTCTACTTTACCAAGCATGATGTCCTTCTCCAGGGACTGATCCCTCCTTTTGTTCTTATAGTTGCTGATAAAATATTATAATACTATCCATATTATTGATTAATAGCCACTAGCACACATTGCCTCCCTAGTCTGCCCCCAACCCTAACATCAGCACATTAGATTCCATCATCTCACTTAATTCTCATGTTAAACTTACGAGGGGGGTACTATCACTCTCCCCATTTTCAGATGAGGAAACTGAGGCAGAGAGAGTCAAGTAATGCCTAAGAGCACAGGGGCAGTGAGTAGCTGGGGTTTGAGCTCAGGTCCTTGGACTCTAAGTCCTGGCACTCAACTACCAGCCCAGAGAGGGTGGGTCCTTTGGCTTAAGATTTTGCTTTCTGTTAGAGTGTACATCCCTTCAGGAACATGGACACAATGCATGTGTGAGTCATTGAGCGTGATCGGAAGTGAGCCTACCAGCCCTTCTAGAGCAGGGCAGGGTGGAGAGAGCCTGAGAACCCCAGTGGACAGAGGGAGATGGGTGGGAATGTTGCTGAGGGCGGAAATGAGAGGCAGGAGGGGATGTTGCTGGCAAGCGTTCCCCAGCCTGGAAGGCAGCTCTGTGAAGGGGACTCAGCAGGAGGCCGGCTCACTTCCAGATGCCTCCACCTGCCCCTGCCCTCCGCTCTGACACAACACTAGGACTCCTGCGCGGGCCTTACCCTGTTTGGACCCGTAGCATCATTGAATTGTTGCATTAACCTTGACCTGAAATGACCCCAGGCACGTGTTGTCTTTCAAAGAACAGAGAGTCAGCAGTGTGTGACAGAATGTGAGTGTGTGTGTGAGTCTGTATGAGTGTGTGTGAACACGTATACGTGGCTGTGTGTGTGCATGAGTGTGAGAGTGTCTCTGAGCATGTGTATGTGTGAGCGAGAGTGTGTGTGAATATGTTGAATGTGAGTATGAGTGTGAATGCGTGTGAGTATGTGAGTATGAATATGTGAGTGCATGTATGTGTGAATGTGTAGTGAGAGTGTGTGACAGTGTGAATGAGTGTGTGTATGAGTGTGAATGTGTGTACATGAGTGTGAGAGTGTGAATGTGTGTATGTGAGAGTGTGTGTGAGAGTGTGAATGTGGGTGTGAGAGTGAGTGTATGTGTGAATGTGTGTTACGTGAGTATGAGAGTGTGTGTGTGGGAATCTGAGTGTGTGTGAGCGTGTACAAGTGTGTGGATAAGTGAACTCTGGACTGCCCCCGGGGCCTCCCTGTTGGGTTCTGGGAGCAGGACACAGGAAGGGGGCCTGAGGAGCTGGGGTGCCCCTGAGAAGGCGGACAAGCAAACCCTCACCTTTGACCCTGAGCCAGGGCAAGTGCTGAGGCTGCCGCCCCCCTGAACTGAAACCCAACTGGGGGTTTCTGCCTTCGCAAGGAAGCAGGGGACGTGTTCCCTGAGTCATGGAGCCGAGGGGGAGGACACACAGCCGGGCCACTTGTCCAGAAGCACCTGCATGTGGCAGAGCTGCCCTGCCCCCATGAAGGCAGGAAGGGCTCAGGAAGGGCCGTCTTTTTCAAACTGTGGGTCATAACCCATTAGCGAAACCGCTACCGACATTTTTTTTTTTCCAAAATAAAATAGAAGAGAATAAAATGGAAGACTGTTTTCTGTAATGTGGGTGGACTTTTTGTTAGAGAGAGACAGAGATGAAGAAAGGCCTACATAGGTTCAGGGTCACAATACAACATGGATTTCTCACTCCACTGACAGTCACCTTCTTCTAATATTGTCACCCCTCGCCCCTGATCGCTCCCTAGGGTGACCAGCACTACAAATCATCGTTGCCAGCCTCACCTGGGACCTCCTTCAACACCACCCTGCAATCTAATTGTCTCTCTCCCAGCACACAACCATTTGTAGACTCTTCCACTCTGCTCAGGCATGGGCCCTGTTCTCCACCCTTCACGTTCCACAGGGAGAAAGAAAGAACACAGGAGCCCTCAGGCAGGAAACCCCTCCAGCGGGAGGAAGATCACAATATGTATTTCTTCTTGGGTTCACAGTGCAGCTACCTCCTCCCCTCCCATTACCAGCTCTGTGACCCTGAGTAATTACGTGGTTTCCTTGAGCCTCGGTGCTCTGACCTGTAAACGGGAGAATAACATCGACCAACACCCAGCAGAAA